GGGAGGGGTGATCATGCCTTTTTGTCCTTGGGCGTAGTCTCCAACTAGAACTCTGGCCTGGTACATGCGCTTGTGTCCGCTGGTGTCGGGCGTGGCGTAGTTTCCTGCTGAATAGCAAGGGTCCGCAGCAAAGTAAGAGCCGTTGCCGTACATCGCAGCTGCAGACAGAGTGAACAAATTAACTGAATAACTAATTAACTTAAACTAGTGTTGAAATATTCTACCCTTGTATGTGTGTACCGTGTGTGATGGCTTTACCATGTTTTCCTGCGTAGCTGCGGTTGAAGCCTTGTTTGTTGATCAGATGGATGGAGGTGTCAGTGGTGCCGTGAAACAGAAGCAGTTCATTGTTTGTGTGTTTATTCTTCACCTCCATTTGTTTCTTCATGATCTGGTAGTTCTGCCACAGTGACGGATTTTGGACTCGTTCGATCTGCCGACGTAATCCAAACACATCAAGTTGGTGATTTTCATTGAAGTACAATAACTGTCCTTCTTACCTCTGTGTCTGCCCTCTAATGATTGTTGACAAAGTATTTATAATTTATTCAACATTCAAATTCTGCTGGCTTGAAATGATCCGAGGTGGCAAAGTCAAGGCTTCAAACTGGGAATGGAAAACCAATGGGTGATGTCACATGTCTAGGTCCAACACTACAGTTTATGCCAAACCAACTGAAGTTGAAGCTGAGACTTGGGAACTAATTTACTCTCCTTTTGTTTTCAATTATATAAAAATATAGAATACTTCTGTGTACATCATACAGCCTGGTCCGTGTATTTATGACTGAACATACACTGATGATGTTGAGGCTGAGTCCGGTCTTCGTCAGTTCCTTCTCCACATCGTTGTATTCAGTAGATGCTGGAGCCACAGCAAACAACTTCAGCAGGTCGTCCTTCATGTCCTCCCAACATGAAGGCAAAGGCAGAGCGCTGGTACCTGCAGAACAAAAAGTAAAAACTCACCAGTGAAACTTTTCAGCCTTTTCTTGGTCCAATGCAAAACGCTGGACATGTTGTTCTGTGTTGTTCCAGCAGGTTAAATGAGGACTACGTGCACATTACTGACTCACCTTTCAGGTCTTTTCGATGGAGCTCCACGCCATTACGTCCGTTTGCTGAAACTGCTTTTTCACGCGCTGGGTCGGCGGTGTACGCGTCATTGTTGATCTTGATCTTTGCTTTTTGTTTGGTCTTGAAAGCTTCCTCGAGGGTGAGGTTGGTGTTCAAGCCAAAGGCCACCATTGACCCATTATGGTCCTTAAATCGCCATTCCACCTGCTCACTCATCTCCAAGGCCTTTTTCCTCAACGCCTCCGCCCGCTCCACCTTACGGATGATGTCCCTGATGGTCATCAAATAAAAAGGTAAAGCAATACTTTAACATGTAACATGTTAAACCTAAGAATTATTACATGTCAATGGTTTATGTGGCTTTCCTGTTTGCTGACCTGACTGCAGACTCAGCAGTGTAGACATCCCTGGTCAGACCCTCCAGGTGGATCTCCGGGTCCTGGTCCTCTGCTCCTTTGTCCAGGCGGATGCTGACTGTCAGTTCTCTCTGCAGAGCCTTCAGCTCCTCCATGTCAGCCTGTGACAGCTGACTAATGCAGGGGTCAGAGATGGTTTTCTGTGCCTGCTCAGCCAGAATCAGGTCATTAATCCTCTTCTTGGCCTGACTCGCTGCCTGCAGCATCAGACAAATGTGTGTTAATAACGGAGATTTAAAGACAATCATTTTATTTTAATTCTACTGAGTGTACTGGAACTATATCCTCGTGAGCAACACGTATACAGACCAGCAGTTACTTCAACTCAGTGTCTCTGAATATAGTTTTGGTTGCTCAGTTAGAAGCAGAGATTTTTCCTTTGATCTATATTTACGATGGTAGTGAACCTCACTGTGATGAAAGACTTGAGGAGGCTGAACTCTGAAGGAACTGTGGATTCATTCTCTAACAATGTTTTCTGAACTTTTGACCAAACAAAAGTTTCTGTTCTGTTTCTCTGCTGCTTTGTTATTTATGCTAAACTAGCCTCGAGCTCTGCATTACACATGTAGGAAGATCTGAGATCAACATTAATAAAAGAAAGAGACAGTGTGTAATAATATATTCATGCCTGACTATTAAAGTAAAAAGACTATTTAAAGAAAGGGTTCGTCCTAAAATGCACTGACCTCTGTCTAGGAAGCAGACTTCCTGTAAAATAAATAAATATGAATGGAAACATAACATGAATGAATTTGTACCTTGTGGTCATCGGCACACAGCTGAAACACTGCGGGCTTAAACTCCTCCCTCTCCAGGACTAAGTCAGCAGTGATTGGCTGCTCTGCTGCGAGCCCAAAAGACAAAGTTAGTCTAAAACAGCTCAAAAAAATGTTGTATTATAGCAAAGAGATCAGTGAATGTCACATAGAGTCCAATCTCCATAAAACAATGTGCGAAAAATCCACAAAAACACTATACTGAAAAAAAACAAACAAACAATATTTTAATTGAGAATAGTAAAATATAATATATTTAAGACACTGCAGCAGTTTCTGTTCTTAGATCTTCATCACTGACAGTTTTGTTCAAAGAAGAGCTGATGTAAAAAAGTGCATCAGCCTGAATGTGATTTATTGTTAACAGATTAAAAAACAATGTAATACCTTCAGTTTTGCTAACGACACTCTTCTCCTCCACCCTCTCTTCCTGTCTCTTCTTCATGCTCATGTGGAAATGTTTCAGCATGGCCGTCTGGAAGATCAGGATCTTCACACTCCGAACAAACCTCGGCTGTTTCCTCTTCACAAACTGCACCACTGCATCCACCATGGCCTCAGCCACCTCTGAAGGGCTGGCCCCTCCCTGACCTGATGGGCAGACAAGGACCAAGCAATGATAATGATGATGATGATGAAAGGACGACAGCTTGTTAGATTCAGAATATGAGTTTCATTTCAATACAGTGCCAAGAGAAAGAGCTGGACAAATGAACCATACTGTCTGAAAAACATAGAAATAAATCAGTTAGAACACGGAGCACCAACAGTCCACCTCAGAGTCGTTTGCACTGTTGGAAAAAGCACTAATGTGACTGAGATGAGCGAGCATGGAGGAGCAGCAGAGATGGAAACTACCTCGCAGCAGTGAATCCACCGGACAGTTAGCTGCTCTAATCACACATCGCTGTAATCTGACATCACACAGAGTCGGTAGAATGGAGCTGTGTTTCAACTTTGTATTAAAGACATTTTAGTGGCACAAACTCAGGTTTGTAAGAGTGGGGTGAAGTAAGGATGCTTTGCATTGCTGCACAGTGAACCGAGTTGTGATGGAGGTGTAGCCTGTGGCTCTGCTGCAGGGGAGGGGTGGTGCAGGGAGGCTGGCAGGGCAACTGAGTCCACTCGACTAGTCGTGCTCTCACTATTTGCTGAGAGGGGAGAGAGCGCAGATGGCAACATCTGGAAAGCTGCTGCAAAGCCCGATACACTGGGACGCACAGCTGTGTGCGTCATGTACAGACCTGTTCCCAGGGCTGGGAAGGCCACAGAGCTGAACTTGTTCTCCTCGCAGACCTTCAGCACCGAGTAAACCGTGTTTTTAATGTTTGCAGGGTCGTTCTGGCCGACGACGTGGACGATGTTCCTGCTGGGCAGCTGCCCGGCTGATGTCAGGATCATTGCACGAGGCTGAGCCGTGGAACTCACTGCAGGGAGGAAACAGCATTATGAGAAGTGTGAAGCATAGTGAGTCTAAAAAGGAAGTGAAAAGGCTGGAGCTTCATGTACACACCGAGCTGAGCGCACTCCTGCTCAACTGTTACTCCAGCACCGTCTAAGATCGCCTTGGACACTCCTGAGCAGCAATAAGAGGAGAGCAACAGGTGCAGTTAGTCAGATTTTGTTACACAGAAAAAACACGTTTATTTTCACAGAGTTAAATTTCACAGTTACCTCTGTCTCGTTCTCTTTACATGTGCATATTTTAAAAATAATAATTCTCTACCCGCCCTGCAGGCGGTCTTCATCAGTATTTTTGATTTTTGGTTTGTTCCTATGACTGCGCTGCTCTGGAATCTGCTGGAGCCTCCAGCCCAGTGACGGGCACTGTCCTGAGTGCTCTAAAGCACCAGACAGCAGAGGTGGACAAGCAGACGAAGACAGCTGTAGGAATGTAGCTACACCGAGTGACAGCACCATCAGGAAGAATGAGAAGCTGCAGAAGTACCAAGGGCTCAGAGAATGGCATCACAACACTGTAGTTAGATTTCCAGGGAGATTCAGTTCAATTTTATTTATACAGCACCAACTCACAACAACAGGTGCTGTATATTGTAAGGTAGACGCTACAATAATATGGTGGCAAGTGTTCAGACGAGTTATTATTACAGGATTATTTATAATGTTTCACTACAACACTATAGTGTTTATAGTGGAAGGTACAGGTTTGCTGCTGAAGCATAAATACACAGTTAGCCTTCAATCTGATGGATGTCATCACATGAGGCCAAAAGCTGAAGTATTATACAAATTACATTTTTGACTGGTTTGGCCTATTTGCTTGTTTTCAGGATTCTTCACTCAGTTTTGCACAGGTCTGGATGAAAATGTCATCCATGAGGTTTGGCTCAACTTTGAACTTGGAAGGATTATTTACCAATGTGGGATTCCACATTCTGACTTGAATCAGAATCTAGTCAAGAACAGCTCTAGTTCTTTGTTAATTTGAAATTATTTTAAGGTTTGAGAAGACTGAGCAATAAACAATAATTTAGACGTATATTTACTTCACAGTAGTGCTCAGTGGAACTCAGAAAATGATCACTGTGGACATCCTCAGTCCTCTGATGAAGGGAAATGTCCTTCCATGACCAAAGCAACATCTGAACTCATTATTAACAAATGTATCCAGTCAAAGCTCAAGTGACTAATTCACAACATGATCTGTAAACTCAAACATAACATTATCAACATGAAGCGTGTATGAAATAACCAACAAGACACTCACTGATTGTTGTATTGTTACTTTAATGCTCCTTCAAACTGCCTCTGATTAGATTTAAAGTACAAAGTGACACCAGCAGCAGGAAAAATGAAAGCAACAGCGCCCCCTTCAAAGACGTACAGTGTCTTATTTTATCTGACAGAGTTGATAGACTGAAGTTAAATTAAAACACCCGACTCCCAGACATGTTGCACAGTAGGAGCATGGCTCTTTATGTAAATGTGATGAGGTATTCTGGGTAGGCCTGGATATCATTGAAGACCACAAACATGGTTGGATAAGCAGCGTCATCTGTGACGCTGTCATACAGGTCTGAGGCACTCCCAGATTTCGGGGGAGGGGTGATCATGCCTTTTTGTCCTTGGGTAGTCTCCAACTAGAACTCTGGCCTGGTACATGCGCTTGTGTCCGCTGGTGTCGGGCGTGGCGTAGTTTCCTGCTGAATAGCAAGGGTCCGCAGCAAAGTAAGAGCCGTTGCCGTACATCGCAGCTGCAGACAGAGTGAACAAATTAACTGAATAACTAATTAACTTAAACTAGTGTTGAAATATTCTACCCTTGTATGTGTGTACTGTGTGTGATGGCTTTACCATGTTTTCCTGCGTAGCTGCGGTTGAAGCCTTGTTTGTTGATCAGATGGATGGAGGTGTCAGTGGTGCCGTGAAACAGAAGCAGTTCATTGTTTGTGTGTTTATTCTTCACCTCCATTTGTTTCTTCATGATCTGGTAGTTCTGCCACAGTGACGGATTTTGGACTCGTTCGATCTGCCGACGTAATCCAAACACATCAAGTTGGTGATTTTCATTGAAGTACAATAACTGTCCTTCTTACCTCTGTGTCTGCCCTCTAATGATTGTTGACAAAGTATTTATAATTTATTCAACATTCAAATTCTGCTGGCTTGAAATGACCAAGGTGGCAAAGTCAAGGCTTCAAACTGGGAATGGGTGATGTCACATGTCTAGGTCCAACACTACAGTTTATGCCAAACCAACTGAAGTTGAAGCTGAGACTTGGGAACTAATTTACTCTCCTTTTGTTTTCAATTATATAAAAATATAGAATATATCTGTGTACATCATACAGCCTGGTCTGTGTATTTATGACTGAACATACACTGATGATGTTGAGGCTGAGTCCGGTCTTCGTCAGTTCCTTCTCCACATCGTTGTATTCAGTAGATGCTGGAGCCACAGCAAACAGCTTCAGCAGGTCGTCCTTCATGTCCTCCCAACATGAAGGCAAAGGCAGAGCGCTGGTACCTGCAGAACAAAAAGTAAAAACTCACCAGTGAAACTTTTCAGCCTTTTCTTGGTCCAATGCAAAACGCTGGACATGTTGTTCTGTGTTGTTCCAGCAGGTTAAATGAGGACTACGTGCACATTACTGACTCACCTTTCAGGTCTTTTCGATGGAGCTCCACGTCATTACGTCCGTTTGCTGAAACTGCTTTTTCACGCGCTGGGTCGGCGGTGTACGCGTCATTGTTGATCTTGATCTTTGCTTTTTGTTTGGTCTTGAAAGCTTCCTCGAGGGTGAGGTTGGTGTTCAAGTCAAAGGCCACCATTGACCCATTATGGTCCTTAAATCGCCATTCCACCTGCTCACTCATCTCCAAGGCCTTTTTCCTCAAGGCCTCCGCCCGCTCCACCTTACGGATGATGTCCCTGATGGTCATCAAATAAAAAGGTAAAGCAATACTTTAACATGTAACATGTTAAACCTAAGAATTATTACATGTCAATGGTTTATGTGGCTTTCCTGTTTGCTGACCTGACTGCAGACTCAGCAGTGTAGACATCCCTGGTCAGACCCTCCAGGTGGATCTCCGGGTCCTGGTCCTCTGCTCCTTTGTCCAGGCGGATGCTGACTGTCAGTTCTCTCTGCAGAGCCTTCAGCTCCTCCATGTCAGCCTGTGACAGCTGACTAATGCAGGGGTCAGAGATGGTTTTCTGTGCCTGCTCAGCCAGAATCAGGTCATTAATCCTCTTCTTGGCCTGACTCGCTGCCTGCAGCATCAGACAAATGTGTGTTAATAACGGAGATTTAAAGACAATCATTTTATTTTAATTCTACTGAGTGTACTGGAACTATATCCTCGTGAGCAACACGTATACAGACCAGCAGTTACTTCAACTCAGTGTCTCTGAATATAGTTTTGGTTGCTCAGTTAGAAGCAGAGATTTTTCCTTTGATCTATATTTACGATGGTAGTGAACCTCACTGTGATGAAAGACTTGAGGAGGCTGAACTCTGAAGGAACTGTGGATTCATTCTCTAACAATGTTTTCTGAACTTTTGACCAAACAAAAGTTTCTGTTCTGTTTCTCTGCTGCTTTGTTATTTATGCTAAACTAGCCTCGAGCTCTGCATTACACATGTAGGAAGATCTGAGATCAACATTAATAAAAGAAAGAGACAGTGTGTAATAATATATTCATGCCTGACTATTAAAGTAAAAAGACTATTTAAAGAAAGGGTTCGTCCTAAAATGCACTGACC